GAGAGGAAAATGTGGTAAGAACAGCAGTGATACACTTGGCTATTGCCTCGTGTCGCTTTTTTGTTCTTACCACATTTTATGTCATCTGTGATCTACAACTGAACAGAGGCACTGCAACATGGAATCAACTTGTTTAATAGTTCTCTACAAAAATATTCAATAATTCTTGTTTCTGTGCCTTATATGTCATTACCAACTGTTGTTTTGAGTCAAGGCCCTTATGCAAATCCCTCTGGAGTTCCTGTGCCTGGGTATAAGGGGCACAATCCATTCAACCAAAATTTCCAGAAATTTCGGTCTAACACTGAATGGATTGACTCTGTCCAACTGGGAAAGTTTCAAAAAAGTCGGTCCACCTTTCAAGGTGGACCACTTTTCTTGGTTGGACCGGTCCGATCGAAATGGACTGTCCCATTTGACCATTCCGGCCCATTCTCAATCCCATTACCTCGCTGTTCGGCATTTTCTATGTACAACATGGAGGAAAACACTTATCATTGCAGCTTTTATGGATTGTCAACAGCGGATCTATCGGTGTCACTCATACATCCATGTGCAGTTACAACAGATAATGTAGCTGCTTYGCAATCCAAGTGTATGTTTTGGCTGTTAACAGCTCTCAAAGACGATTTATTTCCCGAGATATTTCGTCATTTGAAAGAAGTGTTTGAACTCATACGGCAAATATCTGGGAACGGTCTGCTCAAAATAACCTGTTATACAGGTTAAATTACTATGCATGAAACGGCTCACACAATACCATTGATATCACTGTTGAAATCTTCATCTAGCTCAAATACGAGCAACAGTGATCCAACATCCTGCAAATGAGCACAAAACTTGTGCTGCAAGTGGAATGGAATGAGACCAGACCCGTTGCGATCCATTCGACACCAAGAAATTTTGGAACCTCAGCCCGGAAATTTTGGTTGAATGGATCACGGCCAAGGTCTCTACCGATTACTTGGGCACTTTGTGGTATTTCAGGGTTCTTGGAGTAATCAGTGTCTGAACATAACACAATTTTCACCCGGTGCCAGGTACCGAGTGTGAACACAGCCTAAAGGGAGCACTGTCTTAGGTAACAAACCCATTTTGTTTTAAAAAACTCTCAAAGACCGGCAGAGGTAAGAAGTAAGAGCTGGGGGGTGTTTGCCAGCACCGTTACAATTGTGGTGCAAACCAGCACCACAATCAACTTAACCTTATTGCCACCCACACAGTTCAAAAATTCAATTTGTTAAAATACACTATGTTTGCTACAGTTTCAGCAATTAATTTCTCATTCTAATTCATTTAATTAATAGTTCCCTTGAAAACTCTCAGGGTCACTGTTCAGCTTGACTCACTCGCAGGCACCAAACCGTATTTTTCTTTCAGTTTGATTGATTTTGTCATGAAGTCTTTCTCAATCGCTTCTTCCTCTTTATCCATTCCCTTCAAGAATTCATCCCACTGTTTCTTAGTCTGCTCTTTAATTTCCTCCCTTCTCATTTTGTTAGAATCTTGTTCTTCTTTTTCCAAAATATTATGGCACCGTTGTCTGGCATCTTTCAATTGGTCTTGGACTTCATTGAGAAACTCAGCCAGTTGAACACACTCTGGGATGCTATCTTGTATTTCATTCACTTTTTTAGAAGTTTCTGCCAGCCTTTGTACCTCCCTGTCGTTTCTTTTACCTTCAAACTCACGCATTACGTATTTACATTCATTCTGTAAGACTGCCCTGTGGTCAAAAAGTCGAGAATAAATGCCACAAACATCACGCACAATCTTCTCGCCCGCCATGTTGTTTTTGTTTTCCCCAAATTAGGCCATCGCCATATATGGTCACTTGGCTTTTTGGCGCGAAATCTGATCACGTGGTTAAACAGTTTGCTGTGCGGAACCTTCGAACGAGCGACCTCGAGTGTTTAATAGCTTGTGCTCTGGTCAAATTGCTACGTTAAAAATGGCTTTGGACAATGAACAATATCTACGACAACTTCAGAGAGAGTACCTTGATTTCTTGGACGACGATGTGAGTAGATTTGCAGGTCTTTTTGGATGAAATCACGCTTTGATTTAGGTATAATGAACCTCGCTCGCTCGCTCGCTCGCACATGTTGTAAGCAATAGAACTTAAAATTTTCTCATTCATTCGGCTTTTTCGATTGCTATCTTTCAACCGCAAACAAATATGCTTGTTTCTAGCGATCTTTGGTTTTGTGTTCTAATGCTGGTAGACTGTTTAACGGAACACACTCCAAATTAAAGCTCCGAAATCACATGTTGAGTTTCCCGGGAAATTTTATGCTTGTACATATGCTTATTAATTATATTCTGTACAGTTCGAATTCTTAAGATCAAGAAACTTTTTGATCTAATTCACATGATTTTAGACTTAACTTTCTCGACCTTTGATGATTTTATGGATATTTGATAATCAATTCCTCAGAATGTGAGATTATGAAGAGTTTAGATGGCTTTTTTTATAGTAATTTTTGCCCTAGAATTTTGTAAGCTGACCGTATTTTGCCTTTAGGAGGACCAAGGAATATATCATGGCAAAGTTCGTGACATGATAAGCAAGAATGAATGCAGATTGATTGTAAACATCAATGATTTGAGGAGGAAAAATGAGAAAAGAGCTGTTGAGTAAGTATGGGTTAATTCCCACCCTACCCGGTAACTTCTCTTACTCCTACGAGACCCTTAATATCAGAACAGGCTATGTTATTATTAAAATTCACTTTCTTGTTTCCTCAGGATTCTTAACAATGCCTTTGAGGAGCTGATCGCTTTTCAGGTATTTCATACTACTTATTCATGAATGGTACTGCTTTTAATAAATAAATAATAATGATATTGAATACTTATTATGCTTATCCCAGTTATCTGTACAGAATACTTTTACTCTGGCTGTAGAACACATGTATCTTGTTAAAATTTATCATTTTTAGTTTAAAGCTGATATACATGTAATATTTTCAATTTAACTGAGAAAAAAATCTTTGTTTCTTAGAATGCTTTAAAGGAATTCGTAAGCTCTGCTGATACAGCTTACAGCAAGAAACATGAGGAGTTCTTTATTGGATTTGATGGGAGGTAAAATCATCTGTGTTAATTTTTTGTTAATGGTTAAATAATTTATTATTTTTAGTCAATTATTATAATTTATCATGTAGGTATACCTCTTCCTGACGATAAAATGTGGTTTTTTTTTTCAGCTTTGGGGCTAAGCATGTGACACCCAGGTCACTTTCGGCTCATTTTATCGGAAACATGGTTTGTGTGGAGGGAATTGTAACCAAATGTAAGTCAAGTACTGTTGAATTTATTGTCTGGAATGGAGTTTGTAGGCTATAACACTTTTTTTATCTTTTGGATACTGCCACCTAATCCACATGTTATTTGCAAATGGATAACTTACTTGCTCTGTCATGATTTTTTTTACTCTGAGCTGACTACACGTAGCTTTCTTTGGCCATGCACTCCATTCTTCCACTCACATTGAGGACACTTGCTCAGTATGTTATTATTGTTTGTTAGGTTCCCTTGTAAGGCCAAAGGTTGTGCGTAGTGTTCATTACTGCCCACAGACCAAGAAAACATTGGTTCGAAGATACACAGATCTCACGTCCCTCGATGCTTTCCCAACTAGTTCAGTTTATCCCACAAAGGTAACTCTTGTATTTGGTGTAAATCTTTATTACGTAATTTTTGTTATATTATTGACAGTTTACTGTCCATGTGTCACAAAACCATTCTTTCTTTTGATGTTACTAACTTAAGGAATTCATGGGTGTCTTGTGTCACTCGAGAGGAGTGGATAGGGTATCCTGTGTCATTGAAGTGTGTAACGATATCCATATTGATTGATTCGCTTCCGGTTTAAGTTTCATGAATGACATTGCCACGGTAATGGTTTAGACCATCCTTTCCGTTTTTTGACTTGTCAGCTGTAGTCGAGAGGGTAGATTAAACACAGCAGTTTGTGTCTCCAGTTCTGGTCGATTCTTCTCTGTTCTGCATACGAACAACGTTACAAAGTGAGGTGGCCCATGTCACTGGATAGGATTTCTCAGCTTTGTTGCAGTTACTTGTCACCTATGTTGATAATAAAAGTTTTTATATATGCATACAGTGTAAAGAGAATGGCATATTTGTTCGGTCGAAATCAGAAACTACCAGTTCCTGGGTAGGGATTTTCAACATTGCTGTAGCCTTTTGTGAGTTTTACTTTGAAGTAAAGTGCACATGTTGCTACCAACTCAGGGCCAGTATCTAAAACCAGACTGTGATGCACTGAGTTGTTACTAAGGACTTCTTCTCACTGTAGGATGAAGATGGTAACCCTCTTGAAACTGAGTATGGCTTATCGACGTACAAAGATCATCAGACATTTACAATTCAGGTAACAACTTTTTAATTTGTCATTTTCTTGGAAATGGGAAATCCATCTTGTAGAGAGTGCTGGTTTAGCAGGATGATGCTTACATGTATATGAAAACTACACCTTACAGCTGCTATTGCTGGTCACATTTTAAAAGCATCAGCTTACCAGATCGTGTGTGCTAAAGGTATCCGCAGTCGAGTGTTGATCGATACTCTTGATCGATACCCTTGATCGACATCTTGATCACTACTCGATCAACATCCAAATTGATACTTGGTCAGCACTCTATCGACACTTGATCAACAGTCCGTTGATGGTTAGCTGAGTGTCGACCAACTCATATCAATCGATCAAAAATTAGGCCACTCTCGACCGACTGTCGACCAAGATGTCGATGGAGCGTCATTCGAGTGTCAACCAAGGTGTCAATGGAGTGTCAATTGAGTATCGATTGAGGGTTGATCGAGGGTATTGAGCAAGGGTATCGATCAAGGATATCAATCAACATTGACCAGGGATGCGTTCAGTACACATGAACACATAATCCAGCTTACCCTTGAAGCAGACCCGATCAACAAAGTACAGCCAGATTTTAAAACTGGTCAGTAAGGTAGATCAGTGGAGTGCCACCAGAATGAAATTACGTGTGGCATCAGTCATGTAAGAGTTCATGTGCTCAACATTGGATTGAGAAGAGTAATTTTTCATTGGCCGAGTGAAACGAAATAAGTGAAAAATGTTTCTCTTACACACCACTGAGGCCTGGGTATAGGTCATGTGACATGGGGTGGGTAGTTGTTTTTGTTGCATCTGCCATTGCCGACTTTCCCGCCCACCCACCCAAAGATTTTAAGTTTTTATACAATACCAGTATAATGTACAAACCTTGCAGTTTTTTCGTTATCTCTGGTCTTTAGCGTAATGCTACTTGTATTAGTTTTTTTTTTTTTGCGATAAAGGTCAGGCGGCAGTGGTCAGCTTAATATGGCTACCAGTGGTGTGTGAGAAGTTTGGGTTTGTGTCTGTGTTGAAACCCAGTTACTGTCAAACGGTTAAGGCTATGTGACAAAATGCATCCGGTGGGTAGGGTTGTAGGAATGGGGAGGAAGAAGTTCCTATGATGGAATAGCATTCCGTCCAGTTACTGTGAGGGGCAAGTGCCAGTACTGATGAGATACTAGCTCCAGTGATGAACCCTGTGATAAAGCAGACATTCTCTACCTACTGATAAAAATCTACCTTTTGTCTCTTCCAGGAAATGCCTGAAAAAGCCCCAGCGGGACAGCTTCCTCGTTCTGTGGACATCATATCTGATAACGACCTGGTAGATAAATGCAAGGTACATTGGGAAGTTATTAATTTATAGATTGGTTGCTATTAATTGATATTAAAATTTCCTAATAAATCTTGATGAGTAGGTTATATGGTTTAAGTCTGAGCAAGGTTGTCTTGGCTTTCTCTTGTAGCCTGGTGATAGAGTGCAAGTTATTGGAATGTATCGCTGCCTTCCCTCCAAACGGTCTGGATTTACCCCAGGAACGTTCAGGTAATTATTATAATCATGATTGCTAGCCATACAAGATTATTTACTAATAATTAAATTATTCAAATTTTGTGTTTGTGGCACTTGAAGACACAACATGTTACAAGGCATTTTAAGCAATCATATAAAAATAATGAAGATCTTCAAGTCTGAACCTTTGACTGATTCACAGCCTGGTTTGTTAATTATTACTAGCTTTGAAATGCTGGACTGGCAACAGTATTGAGCTATGCCTTGTGAGAAACTAATAAGATTAAGAGATTTCCAAGATGTATGCTGCTTGGAAAAGTCTCTACTCATTTGATAAAATAGTTGACTTGCCTTTGGTTCACTTGCTGGTTAGAAAAATACTTTGAATCAGGGACTCTTTTTAGTTTATGAATCTCCATATAACTACATAACACTATTTCATTTTAGTATAAAGCTACTCGCCTTCTGTCATGAATGCCGTTCTCATCTTGACGTTTCCGAAGTGTCTGTGAAGAGGATTTAGATAAAGTTTGAACAACTAGTAGATTTGTCGAGGAAAAGGTTGTTGTTATTCATCGTGGTAGATGCAATAATAAAGTGTATTATCGTTTG